ATACACGTTCACTAGAATCATTTGTATAATTTCAGACTTTGGAATTGTAAGGCTCTACAAAACTAAAGGTAAAAGGTGGCAGTTATCTTGAAAACTACCACTACATGACATCACATGGTAGAACAGAGCATTTTAAGCGTTGGAAATGTAGACTAAAGGATTACTCAAACATGTGTGAAGGACAACAAAACACAACTCCAGGTATGTTTTTAAGGAGGTACCAATATTCTGAGAGATCCTGTGATTCCCAATGCTACAATTCACTCAGTTGCCTTAAGGAATGGAATGTGGTGCGTGATTGGTGATGGTTGAAGGGGAGCTAGTCTAGCCCTTTAAGAAGTTTGCCAATTTTGTTTAATTATAAGTGCCAAAGGTTATTAAATCACTCTGCTGGTTGGTTATTTAATACCAAAATTGCTTTATTTGAAGAGAATTTTTCTTGACACAAAGCATGGCACAGACAATCGGGTGGGCCAGTCACTTCCCCTACCATGCTTGTGTGAATATGATGTGATTGGTGGTGGTTGGATGGGCGTAAAATTACATCCCCTTATCTGCCAGACAGCCCCGGGGCAGCTGTGGCTATAGACATGATTTAGGAATAAGCAAGTATAGACAAATCTGGTATTGAGAAACTTAAATTGTTTTAACATATTTCAGAATTACACTACCAGTCTAAAGTTTGGGCACGCTTTTTCATTTTTCTTCTTTATTTCCATGATTATTTGCATTGTAGATTCTCACTGAAGGCATCCAAACTGACTATGAATGGACACGTATGGAATGTAGCAAACAATAACTCAAAATAACTCAAAACACTTTGCTTGCTTTGCACCTTGGTTTCCTTTTTTGGCATTGCTTAACCCTGACATGGCACACCTGTGAAGTAAAAACCATTTTCACGGTGACTTCATCTTAAAGCTCATTGAGAGAAGGCACATTTTTTGCAGCATTGTTGACAAAGTAAAGGGTTGTTTCTTTACTACATAATTCTATATCTAGAGTATGTATCGAAAAAGTACAAAGTAGTGAACATAAAGAAGATAAACATTGAATGAATAGGTGTGTCCAAACCCTAGACTACATAAATAGCGGTCCAAATGCAAAGTGACCATGGGGTTACTTCCGGCTCCATTGACTTTGGCTCACATTTACATCGAAAAATTGTCACCCCTCTCTCTGTAACTGCTGCAGTGAGCCTCGTCATTTTGGTCTTAAAATGTTCATATTAACCTGCTCTACATACAGGATCCTGTTGTTTTTATATATCTGTTTGATCCACAAATAAATGTCTATTCCTTATATACAACAAATTAGCTTCTTTATCTCTAAATCTTTATAACCGCAAGCCTTGGTGAGCTTCATTTGACTGGAGACGAACACTACGGGTAACATCGCACTCCCTTTGTTCACTTCTTTATACAGTCTATGATCCGAACTGTTAGAAGCATATTTACATTTCCTGATCTTACACACATGAGCCAACACAACAAATAACTAAGTTGAGGGAGGTAATATTGTTGCGATTACTTCAGATGTCATTCCTGAGTTTTATTTGCCCCCCTTACGTCATACACATTCCTGCATAAAAGCGCATTAAAGGTGTTAAAATCGTATTGGCGCTGGAACATGACTAACTCCTTGTCTAAACCCACATCAAAATGGGCTTTGGATTCAGTCGCGTAAAACAAACATAAATTTAAGTACTCAAACCACTGCCAACATCCATCACTGTTGCCATTACACTGTCACTTTTTCCAGCTTTACAAATTGCTCCCGTGTTGAGTTGACTTGTTCTTGATACAGATCTGAAAGTTATAGTTTTGAGTACGTCTCTGGCACCGCGACACAGGCCCCGCTCACATCGGTGTTGCCATAACAGGAGCGTTAATATGCTTGATGTTATCGTAGCAATTAGCCCAATGTGTCACCCCCTCCCCTCGCCTCCTCTGTTTCTGGGTGGTACTGGAGGCATGGAGAGCAGTAGAAAAGAAAGAATACAGCTAAAGATGTCTGGAGCTATGGTGGGAGGAGAGGGAGGAGGTGTAGCCGAAATGGGAATCAAGGCCACAAGTCCTCAGGCGTGAGATATGTAGGCCGACTTTATCCCATAATAAGACATATGAGAGGGGAATGGTTAAATATGGATTTGTTTAATGCATAGGGTAACTACTGCTTATTGGCTAGGCTACTGAGTGTCATTATTTTTCTCATTTGTGTAACCATAGCGATGTTTTATTGCTCTCCATCTCGCTAGTTGGGTTTAATGAGCTAAAATCTGGCTACTTTGTGCCAGTGACAAGCAAATCATCTAACCCATTTTATTTACAATTTTTGTCAGAAATGCTTGTTTAGTAGGGCTGTAACGAAATCCAAATCTCCCGGTACGAATATTATCACGATATGCATCTCACGGTACGATATTTATTGCAATATTTTGGAGAGGCTGATATAATTGTAGATGGGTAACTTTTTTGCTTTTAAAATACCCTGACAAGATTTTGGTGTGAATTATTGTCATAATCTCAAGAATTCAAGTAAAAAACATCTAACTTTATGTTGTTTGTGCTGAAATGAATCATGGGATATGTAGTTCCATGTGTTTATAACCATGCATTTAAGCAAAGGAACTTACATACAATACAATATGATATTTCTATTATTGTTACATCCCTATTGTTTAGTGCTCACAAAGATTTAAAGGCACAATATGTAACTTTCTGGATTTGGTACATCACCTGCCTGATTCTGTGGAAATACAAAGTCAAGACCATACTTCAGAATATTTTCTTCATGTAGCTAGTGAAAATGTATGTCAAACTGTGGAGGATTATCGCCAAAAGAACAACATTTCCGTGGAAACAAGCACAAGGATGCTTTCCTCCAGGCCAAATAAGAGTCATGTTTGTGGAGATGCAAGTCTGCAAGGACACGTGCTTTCCAGAGCAATATAAACTTTTAAAATGAATAAATCATGTTTTTTATTTTAGTAAATTTTTTGGCTAAAATCTTACATACTGTGGCTTTAAGTATAAGATTTATGAAGTCTGGTGGATAATGCAGGTTATGCATAGCTGCCTAAGATTAACTACTTTTGCTACTGTATTTTCGGCAGTGTTGTATGGCTTATTGTATATGGAATATCATCTGAATTTTTTGTCAGTATCACACTTCATAGAGGTTTAATGTGGTCTGGAGCATACTTGTCAAAGATCACAGTGCAGGGGGTTGGGGTGGAGGTAATTCTGGGACACAGCATATCCAACTTTGGCAACATTATACATTATATATATACAGCGTGGCCTCGGTATCAGATCACAGTTTTACTTGTATTGTAAAATACGGAAGTGAGTACCACCCATGACTTGTGTCTGACTGGTTTACTTCGCACTTGTTATTCTATGCCATCGCTATAAAACAACACAGCAGTAACTGAATTTCTTTTGTCCAATTCGAGAGGGACAAGTTCAGCCTATAGCTGATATGATATGGGTTCACTTTGAAAGCATTTTAGATTTAGATTAGCACATTTTCAGGTGGTCGTCGTGACAACCTGCAATAACACCCAGAGACAATGCGATCTTATGTTATGCTGAATGCCCATATCTGCATTTGTGCATCAGGCCATGAATGGTTATAGAAACTGGGTTGGTTTAGTGTTGCACCAAACTCAATGCCTGTCATATTTACTTGCTCGGAGGCCTTTGTTTTGCAGATGTTTTCTCTGGGTGGGGCGGAGATATCCATTCAAACACGTTCAAACATGAGCAGCTTGTGAAGGAGCTAATTGGATCCTCCGTCTCTCCATTATAGAAATCAAATGTGATTTCACACCTACGTGTGGCTGATGGATGTTAGAGGCAATGCTATGCAACCTTCTTTATTTTGTCTAAAAGCCTTGTATAGCAACTGTTTATGCATGTTTTTAAATGTTAATGCTGCATCTAAAATCACAGTTTTGACACCATAAAACCCACTGTATGACTTCCAATTATCTGGTGTTAAACAACTGTATACTTGATTAAGCATTTTAGATTACCTAAAAATAATTTTTTGACTTAGAAAAAAATTCAAAAACAGAATATTATTAAATTAAGAACAAATTCCACAACTTTGAATGTGATATTATCTAGGACAGCGCATATTAATGAACATTATGCATGTAATGATGTAAGTTCCTTCCCTCATTAAGTTGGTGTCAAAATATTTCTTTGACAGGGGAAAGAGCAGCAACAATCACTCAAAGGCAAATGCACCTGCCAACAAATTTATTATATATAAAAATATTCATTTATTTGAAGTTAGACCAACAGCACCGCAATATAAAAACATAATTTAGTTACACTTGGTGACATATTTTAAACATTTCTTAGAGCTCTAGTGAATGCTGCTTGTGTTGACAGTCCTCTCCTATGAGCAGGCACTGTATTCTGCTATATTTATCCTCTGCTCTAAAAAGTGGCATATTTCAAAAGGACATTTTATCTTCTTTTGTCTTAGTTGAACACTATAAACCTTTAGAACATTGTGATGACATCTTTAGCCAGTCAAAACATGTCTGAAGAGGTTTTATATTTCATCCATGCATGTTTGAGTAATTTAGCGAATCCTCTTTACGGTTAGCAGTACAATTCTGTCCAGTGCTCAGCCCACAAGCCTACGTCATCCATGCTCCCACACGACAATTTTCCATAAATATACAAAAGTAGAATACAGAACAATACACTTTCACTTCAGAAACCTGATGCAGTGTGCTGAAGGGGAGGGTGACTTAGCACAGGGAGCAAGGGGAGAAAAAGAAACTGAAACTTTAAACATTAGCAAATATAGCCTTTTCAAAACAGTAAAGTGTAACATGGTGATATAAGCAGTTAATACCCCTTAGAAATAAAATATCCCCTTTAACATTAGGCTAAGATGTTGTGTTGCCATTATTATGAGCCAGTAACTTTGAAATTCTCGCAGCTTTTATACTTAAAGTTTTTTCTTATCTTTTCCAGAATGGCACAAAGAAATCCTGGGACTACATGCGGACCCACGACAGGTAAACTCACACACTTTAAACTACTACTACTACAACTATTACTACTACTACTATACACTTTTTTTTTCTTGTAAGCACTTTAGCCTCCAGTGTGGGTGCTCTAGGACATATCTCACACTTGAGTGTCAAAAACTACCTCTCCCCTCGTTTACCCAGGAGTCTGCAGTCATTCAGGCCCTCTTTCCTCTTGCTCTGACCCAGACCGGGCACCCAGTGAAAAATAGTCCCACCGAGACAAAAGCAGTAAACCCCATGCATGGGTCTTTAACACAGAGATCCTCACGGGAACGTCCTCAAGGCAACCTGTGTTATGCCACATCTGCCTGCATTGAACAGAGCCCCAGCTTTGTTTTGCATTTCTGTTCAAGTGCCCATAACATTTTCTTCTCAGCGGGTTTTATTTGGACGCCCCGGGCTTGTCACGTTCGGAAGCAAAGGGGTAAAAATGCAAAAGACAGATGAGGTGAGAGGAAATAACAATTTTGGATGTAATAATGGATTCTGTAAATACCGGGATAAGTATTGGGCTGCTTTGTTGTACCAGACAAAGACCATGTTTTGTTAGTGTATAGACAAATTAGTATTATCATTTTAACTTCCGTCCTTCCCATGCAGGCTTGTGACAAAAAAACACATTAAAGGCTCTGTACCTGATTTTTACTGTTGTCAAAATGTGAAAAACAGAACTACTGTAATTTCCGGACTATAAACCGCTGCTTTTTTCTCACACTCGGAACCCTGCGGCTTATACAATGATGTGGCGAATATATGGATGGATTCTTTGTTTGGCACATTGTCTATACATATATATACGGTCTATGGTTTGGCAACACAGCAGATGCACACAGCCTAAGTGCAGAAAGCACCACTGTCTGTGCGGTTAACATGAAGCTGCAGTGTTAGCACTGTTTTTACCACAGTAAAACAGTTTATCGCCATGTGATAAAGTAAGTTGCTAAACTAACATTGGTGAGTGTGATACATCTTTATGACCCATATTTGTTAAATGCAGGGGAGTGCGTAAACAAGAAAAAATGGCTCAGATTTCAGTAGCTGGACATTCACCCATACCTGATCGATACAACTAGCCTTGTCTCCGGGAACGCTGGAAATCTGCTGAACTTTTATGAAACACTGACATGATACAGACAGGACAACAGCTCTTTCTGCAGGAGTCATGCCCCGTAGAGCGCTGGGAGAGACGGGGATGCAACTAAATAAACTAACTAAATGCAAAAAGACGACAAAAGCTTTCAAAGGCAATAAAAGCAGATGGCCTGAACTTGAAAATGTTCTTGAAGGTGTGGACACCTGCGGCTTATAGACAGGTTCCACCTATATTTTCTTTTACAATTTAGTTGATGCGGCTTATATTCATTTGCACTCAGTAGTCCAGAAATTACAGTAGTTCATTTTAAACAGTTTGTAGTGGTCCAGACTTATTTCTCATTTACCTAATGCATTTCTAGCATCCTAATTATTCACTGTGATGAGTTTATAAGTGCTTTTCACAATTTTCAGAAGTTGTGCTAGTGCTAGTCAACTAGCATGCTAACAGCACCCTTCTGGATTCTTGAAGGACAGGACACAGCAGCCACATTTCTACCTTAAAGATTCATTGGGTAACTTTTCTGGTGGATGGTCCATCAAATGCTTTTCTTCATGGACATGGTTTTGCTTTGTCTGTAATGTTTCACAGTATGGCATTAAACCTATTATCTGTCATCATGGAGACAAAACCAGGCCAAGTTACTAGTCACATCTGTGGAGAGGCGACCCAGCCTGTTTTTCTAGGTACATTCCAGGCAAAAGAGTGATATATCAAATCAGTCAAAAAGTTACATAGTCAAAGTGTAATTGACACATTGGTATACAAAAATATGTATTCATTAAGAGGATTGTACAACTATTGTACTCTGATTAAGTTAGAATGAGCGTTATGATCAAATAAAAAATGTTATAGAAAGATCATCTGTAAACATTGATTTATTTTGTATAATATTTAGAAAAGACCAGATATCAATTATATTATGCATTTAATTAAAACTAGTGTCTCATTTTTCTAATAAACAGGGTTTGTATGTGCCTTTTCAGATGAAGAAACTATAATCTCACTTGCTAATTTAGTATCTTTAAATTAACCCTGAACTGAATGACATTTGTAACCCAGATTTCCCTGTATTGGTGTAGGACCCCACTGGTAGAGGAGCAGGCTAAACGGCGCATGAAGGGTCCGTGAAGGGTCCCGGAGGGTCCTGGATGTGCGCTTAGCTTCTTGGTTTAAGCATTAGAGGCGTTTACAGCAGGAGGCAGTAATGGTGCGGAACAGACAGGCTAGAGGCAGAGACAGCCTCAGGGGAGCACAATAACCCCAGGCCAGTTTCTGTCCCATTTCACTGTTCCACTGCTCTGTATTAGAGTGTGGATCGGGACGAATTTTTCTGTCCGATCCCAACCTACGTCCGACAGAGCAGTGATCGATTCCTACCCGATCCCGACAGGAATTAAGACATTTATGTTTCGACCCCGACACACTTTTTTCATAAGCCTACTAATGACACATGTAGGATATTGTTTGTGTGGCCTCTAACAGACACAGCGATGCAAAATACAGACAAAAATAATGAGAAGACTTCATTACTCACCTCTCGTAAAGTGGTAAATTTAGTGCAGCATCTCATCCACATTATCCATAGAAATTGTCCTCCACAAATAATGACATCCAGTCCACAAAACTGCGCTGTTAATCCACTTTGAAGCTGTAGTGGCAGTTTTAACTCCACAGTTTGCCACTAAAGCTGTGAGGGCATGGCTTTAGCTCGACTCATGTGTCTAAGGTGAAAACGGATAGATTCAGTGTCCAAACTAATATTGTTTATGGGGTTTAATTAAAAATGCAGATTCCACAAATGAAGATTGTACAAAATATCCCATTTACAAGGTTAAAAAAAAACTGTATGGCCTCCCCTACAGCTTCCACACAAAGAATAATCAGGCCACATAGGCCACTTGACTATAAGGCAAGGCGAGTTTATTTGTATAGCACAATTCGTACATTAATTCAAAGTGCTTTACAGAATAAGAAAAACATTAAAATCACAATAAAAACAAATCAAAACGTAAATAATCATCATACAATTAAAGATTAAAATTTAAAAAAGAGAGAGAGACATTAATTACATTAATTAGAGAGAAGAGTGCGGAATGAAAAGTCACATGCAAAGGTAAACAGAACCGTTTTGAGCCTGGATTTAAACAGAGTCAAAGTAGAGGCCTGTCTCACATGTTCAGGAAGACTGGTTTTAGCTGCGTGAACCTGAAACACTGACTCCCCATGCTTAGTCCTGACTCTGGGCACCAGCAGGAGGCCCGTCCCTGAGGTCCTCAGAGTGCGAGTATAAGCCACCAGGCTCCACACCCAAGGCTACCCCGAACACCTTTAACCAAATGTAGGACAAAAATGGCTGCAACAGAAGTATAAAGGTGTGTGTCTGTTTACATCCACACAGCGGGCGGATCAAGGTGAACCTGCAGTTTTGTGATAGTGACTCTACTTCCTGTGAACTTTATCACCAATCTTTTATGCTTTAAAAGTTGCATATCTGAAGTATTGCACCACATTTCACAAATAATAACACAATTTTGAAGGTGTTCTGTGTCTAACTTTTCTGATGTAAACTCTGAAAGCACTATTGCTTTGTTTGGAATGTTTTACAGGATGGTATTAAACCTTTTTTATCTTCATGGAAGCCAAATCAGACCCAGGTTATAGGTCAGATCTGTGGAGAGGAAACCCTGCTCACAGTCACCATGCCTGTTTTCTTAGGTATTCGTGCTATAAAATCATCTTTAACTGAATAAATGGTATAAATGGTAAGGTAAAACTGTTCAATGTCATACTGTGGAACATCCAGGCAGAGCAATGAGGTATCCAAACAAGCAGGTGACAGACCCTCCACCAGAAAAGTTACACAATGCACCTTTAACTGCTAACACATATTTAAATCACCATGTTACCTTTAATTGTTTTGAAAATGCTATATTCGCAGAAGACAGCATATTAACATGTTCAGTTTCATTTCTGATGTTCTGATTCCCCCCTCTGCCCTCGCTCGTCACACTGTCACACCCCCTTCAGAGCGCTTCCACATTACAATCGTCGTGCTTTCCTCTAATGAAACAACAGTACCTCGCATTAGGTTTGTGACGTTGTAGTGTGCTGTTTTGTATCCTTCTTTTTGTACATTTATGGAAAATTGCCTTGTCATGGGTGATGTAACTTGTGGGCTGAGCATAAGATAGGATCGTACTTCTAACCGCAAAGAGGGTTCGAATAGTGCCTGGGGAGAGATTTCTAGATCTAACATGGTTGAAAGCTCTAAACAGTCCACTTTGCTTAATACCCCCTCTTTAACCATTTAGTTTTTGTTCCAGTTGCTACTGAATCACGCCAATTTAGTGTCATTTCTGAAGTACATTGAGCCCCACACAATGTATCAACAAATAATATTGTATTATGAGTTAAATACTGTGGCTATAGTAAACCACAATATTTTTACATACTTTCCCCATGAATCACCACCACTGACGCTACAACTACAACATGCTCAATAATAGGCTTAAATACTCCAGCTAGGTGGTCCTAACCAAGCCTTGCTCCAAATATGGATACGGATCCGATGGAAATGGGTCCACGCACTGCATTTTGGTCACCCAAATGCACTGAAGAATGGGTCAAATGCAGTCTCTTAAATATACTTTACCTTTACAGCAGCCAAAGTCAGGGTGGGCATGTGCTAAATAAATCACATCAGGATATTTTTGAGCCTATAAATCACAATTTTTGCATTTTTAAGCTCCCACATTAGGCTATTTTTTGATCTATGTTATAATGTTGTTTCCTCCTCACAAACAAACTTAGAGTTGTGTTTAATGCTCGAACACTGCGTATTTAGACTTCTCTCAAACATAAAACACTCTGTTCCACCTTGTGATGTCATGTGATAATAGAGGAAGTGCTCCACTGTGTTTTTAAACTCCACACACCTTCACTAGAATAATCTGGATAATTTCAGCCTCTGGTATTGTCTCTATTAAACAGAATGTAAAAGGTACAGAGGATTTGGAGATTTGGAGATGAAGACAGGCTAATAAAGTGTTACTCAAACATGTGTGAATGAAACGAAATACAACTTTGAGTATGTTTTTGATGAGGTAACAACAACATAACATGGCTAAAAGCTCACGAGTCAGGTTTGCATAATACAGGAACTTTAATATGATATATGCCAGGGGTGTCCAAACCTTTTTCATCAAGGACTACATATATAATCACAGACGAAGCAGAGGGCTGATCAAGCGCTGTAGACTGGTGCTGAATACAGTGAAGAATTGAAATATATGCATGATTAACACGTTAGAATGACCCATCAGTCTTTATTCATGCTAAGATCCTTGTCTGAGGGCCGCATTTGGCTCATGGGCCATAGTTTGGACAAGCCTGATTTATGCGTTTAGTATCTTGCCATTAAGCCATCTGCTGCTTATGAGAATTCAAAACACCTGTCACTCACTCGGAGCCTTGCACAGACTGAGTGAGGAAAAATAGGTGGTTCAAAGTGTTATAAAGCAGCACTCACGTAAATGACAGATTCAGGATCAGATCACAATACGCTTTATTTACCGCCAAGGCTAAAGGTAATATTCATTTGTCAGCTAATTTTGTACTTAAAAATCTGTCTCATTCAGCTACTACCAGACACGTCCCACAACAATAAGAACACAGTGTACACGCATAGCAATTGATTATAATGAGTTTACATGCAGAAGAGGTTGATTAGCCATGGACTCCTGATAAAATAAACAATCGAAATGATAAAACCGCCGCTGTCACTTGAGAATACCTATTGTACTGTAAATATCTAAAGTGGCAGTAGTTATCAGCGCGTAGGCCCCGCATTGGTAATGTGCACTTCCTGGTTCCCTGTGAGCATGGGAAAGCCGGGCTGGGCTTCCTGCCGCCTCAGACGCTTCCTCTTTCCCAACAAGTCCCCACGAGCATACAGCCACACAGCACAGAGACTACCTGTGGGCCAGGCTTAGGGGCAATACTTTTCACTGTTTTTATATTAGCATTTAATAATTATAGGAATGGTAAGGATTTTACAAATATTGATCCTATTGCTACCTCTTTATAATAACCAAGAATAATGAAGAAATAATTAATTAAGAATGACTGGTTACTACCCAATTAATGTGTTAGGGGTGGGGTTGTTGTAGTTGTAGAATTGTAGTAGTCCGAGAGTTGAAAGAAAAGACGCTGGAGTTTTAATGCACAAAATGTTTGCCATCGGTATAGGACCCAGCACCCTTGGACATGAGCCCTTAAGACATTGTCATAGTATTGTTGTAGGGAGTATTATACCTCTGATAACATATGCCAATATAGCAAGGACAGAGCTAGAAGTGAGTGCCCTCATTACAGCACAGCAGTGTAATTTCTTTAACGGGTATTGGGGCCTGTTCACACGAGAATGCTTGCGGGTAAAAACAATAAAATATTTTATCGGAAGTGCTTTTCGTTTAGACGGTGACGGCGTTTTTGGAGCTTAAAAACACAAAAAACTGAAACCACCCTCCACAGTGGAAAAGTTGAATACACTCCACCGTAGCATTTCTGTCTACACTGTCCAAGACGCAAAACTCTGGTTAGATCTGCTCAGGTCGCGTACCTGTTTACGTCCCATACATCAGCACCTAGCGTCACCACCTAAGCGCTTGGCTTGCATACTCAATCAAATTCCACACACTTTTGCGTCCCCATATGCACACAGATTTCCTCACAAAAATGCTTGTTTAAACGAGGAATAAAAAGTGAAGATGCAATGCCACTTTTGCATCTTCTGTTCAGAACTGCATCTTATAAATGTAGCCTTAAAGGAGTAGTTGCTAAGTCATTCTTGATAAACTATTTGTTCATAATGATTTGAGTCTTTGTTCATGGTTTCAGTCATATTGGTTTAGTCATTATGAAGTGTTACCCACATGTTTAGAATGTTAAGAAGCAACAATGTCCAATTTATATGTAAAATTTACAGAAAAGTAATTTATGAAATGCCATAAATATATTGTATCTATGTTGCATTCACTTTTTACACCAGATACTCCAACTCTTCCCATTCATGTGTGTTTTTATTCTTCTCTTTTCAGTGTATCAGTGCTGATCTTCAACACCACCTCACACTGTTTTGTCCTTGTCAAACAATTTCGCCCAGGTAGGTTTCCCTATATATCTCTCTATATATGTAAATATGTAGTATTTAACTTAAATCTAAATTTAAACTTAAAATGTTAGGGCATTTTTTATCACAGTCTTTTCTACTCTGCACAAAAACATCTTTCTACTTTTCCAAGAAACTAAACCTTGCATAACATCTTGAATTTATTATTTTGATGGATCAGGTAGGACTGAGTTGAAGTTGCTTGATTTGCATCGTAAACATTTCAAGTTTCAATCATGTGTTATATTTCTACTCCATGAAACTCCCTGTTTTATGGCTGTCTAATGTTCAGTGTCACCAATGGCTTTCACAGGAAGGGCTATGCATTCTTTCACACATCCTATAAATGCCATTGTTTTTCATGTCTATTTTTTAACTTAAAGAAATTTTCATTATCAACAGCAAAGAGAAAAGAGCTGGGAAAATGTGTATCAATAGCCAGACTTCCTTGTATTTAGCTGAGAGTGACGTGGTGCAGTCCCTGGCGTCTCCTAACAAAAGAGGTTAGCCTGTTATGTGAAGTTCATCCATTTCTCTGGTGCTCTATTTCTGAGGCTGCATTGTTACATTGGAATAAACAGCATTGTAATGTTGTAAGGACGTTTGTAGTCTACATGCTCTCAAGCTTTCGATTTAGATCCAGATTGTCACGATAACAGAAAATTAATTATTAGTCTCTACTTTTAGTGAATGGAAATCAAGGCTTGAATTTTAAGGGCCAATATTACAATATTTTCTGATCTATGTTATGTTTTTTCATCATCACAAACATACTTGGACTTGTGTTTTGTTTCATTCACACATGTTTAACACCCAAATCCTGCATATTTAGGCTGAAGTCTTAATCAGAAAAACATTCTCTTCCACCTTGTGATGTAATACAGGAAGTGCTCCACTGTGTTTTCAAACCCCATGCATCTTCACTAGAATAATGTGGATCATTTCAGCCCTGGAATTGCACATTTCTCCTAAACAAAAGGTAAAAGGTAGATGTTAACTTGAAAATGATGACGTCACAACATCACAAAGTGGAACAGAGCATTTTGAGCTTTTGAAACTAATAATTAAGAGTTATTAAGAGTTACTTTTGTTACCTGAGTTAACAAAAGATAATTCGGGGTTATTTTTTGAGGAGGTAATAGCATTGTAACATGGCTTAAAATCTGTTTTGTATAATATAGGTCCTTTTAAGAATGTGGGCTTGTACAGTAAATGTAGCAGCTTTTTAAACAACCGTAACAAAAAACACAGTAGACTGTTGGCTAAATTTTTGTAAATATGATTGACATCACACCCAGACAAGTTATACCTCTTCTGACAGCTTGGACTCTTCACAATGTTAATGTGTTATTTTTACAGGTACATTAACGCAATGACACAGCGAGCAACATCTAGCAATTACATTTGCCAGTATAAAAAAAAAAATGGGACAGTTGCCATAGCAATTAATAATTATAATCATGCTGATATTATTACATTTGAATGTGCAAAAGTTCTTAAGATGGCCTTCAAGACAGAAAGGCCATGAAATTTATAACCCCAAAACTACATGCACTATGGTCCTGGTTCCTGGTGTAATGCTGCTCTCCCAGTCTTGTTATCAGTCAAAGTTATTAATACTCATTCAGCATTAAAAATCCCTCTTTTCCCCCTGCAGCTGTGTACATGTGCGAGTGGGAAAGAGGCAAGTCCCAGTCGGCCAAAGCAGCAGCAGCCGCAGCAGCAGAGAAGAAAGAGGAGGGGGAAGCTGAGGCGTCTGAAGCCCAGGAGGGGGCTTCCAGTGCTGGGGAGGGCAGCTCTGAGTGGCCTCCTGCCTGTGCGGGGGTCACCTACGAGCTGTGTGCAGGCCTGGTGGACAAACCCGACCTGTCCCTGGAGGAAATCGCTCGGCAGGAGGTCCTGGAGGAGTGTGGCTACGATGTTCCTGCATCCAAACTCAAGAAGATCACTTCTTACAGGTGGGGCTGCCAAAATGGTGGACTTTTATGGTCACTCAAAGTCATTGTTTAATTTGACAAGTAGTACCTATTAGACTAGTCACACATAGGCCTGTCATGATAATTACTATATTGACTTATCATTCAGTATATGAAAGTTAGACCAATCATTTTTGGAGGGTCTGTATATATGTATCATGTGTACACTTTATTTAGCCTGATTCATCAACCGGTTTCACTTCATGAAAACCGTCTGAACTCACAGCATTAGGATTTGTTCACTCGACAGTAGGCGGATACTTTTTTTATTCAACCAATCGCTGCTATTTGGTCATGACTAGGGGTGGACGATATATCGATATTTTAAATATATCGAGATAGTTTTTAAACTCGATATGAATTCTGACATATCGTATATATCGATATAATGCTTATATTCAATTTAGATTTCGCCGCTTCGCTTGTTTGTCTTCTCTCTCGTCGCCCGCGCACCCCCGCCTCCCTGATTTTGTTCGCTCGTATCTCCTTCACTCCTCACTACCGCCCTGAACGCCGAAAGTTGGTGCCAGTGAAAAGCTTCAAGCACCACGAACCTTTTCCACCATTTACAGACAAGAACATCAGCAGCACATCCTCATATTCCACCGAGTTGCGTCCTTTATCCCGAAAGAAGCTAAACGAGCTGAGCTGCATGAGAAGGGCGCTGTTTATGCAAATGAGCCATGCGCTTAAATTTTGTTTCTGTAAAATGTAAACACACGTGCGCAAAACTGCATTAAACACATTATTATCGCAAACGGTCTGATGTGGCTCTATAGTCATTATGCTTTATATATTGTAAAGTTTATTTATGCAGAAGATTTTAATTAATAATCTGCTGCAGTGTCACTTGTACAATGGTGTTTGGAATCGTTGGGTTTGATCTGCAGTGGATTGTGGGATTAAACCTCAGAGCTCCTTACTGCTGGATAATAACATGGATCTATTAAAATAAGACCTTGTGGAACTGGCACATTTGTTTTTGCAGTTTTCAGTTTTAGGGGGTTATTTTTTCTTGTACATATATGGAGATATATATCGTATATCGAGATATAGCAAAATATATCGAGATATATTTTTTGATCCATATCGCCCAGCCCTAGTCATGACATATGTAATGCGCTGGAACGCTCAGTGGTGTCCAAGTAATTGCCGACTTCAGAGCTCTTCGCTGATTGGCTGGTCTGCGGTCTACAACTTCTAGGCTTCTTGCAAACCGTGTAGTGTATTCCGATTCCTGACCTTGTCACTGGAGAGAAATGAAATTGAGCGGAGGTACTAGGTGGCGCCGGCCTGGCTACGCTTTATTTGCACTACTGGGAAATTCCTGATTATTCATATATTGACTATATGATAAGATTTCAGCCATAAACGTTTGAATAAATCACTTCTATGAGCATCAGCATATTGTACTTTAGAATTTATCGTGACAGGCCTAGTCACACTGGCACATTTATAAATGCAACCTAAGTGAACTGTATTGCCCACTGGTACAAGTAATGCAGTATCAATAATGACGATTAAACAATGTTTAGTTTCATCTCTACCAAGAGATTAGGATACAATTAGGATACTTTTTTAGTATCCATGACTTTGAAAGTGACCAAAATTAGTAGTACTGGCATGGCAGATAGCAATTCAAAACTAAAAAAGTTATATCTTTGAGTGGTGAAAAGTGCTATTTAAACAGGAAACAAGGAGACAAAAGACATATGGACATTTCTTGCATGTTGTGATAGAAATACTGAACAGGGATTATGAATTATACTTATTTCCAAATTGGTAATAAACCAGTCTACCCAAACAAATGGCATTCATTGAGTAGTGCATTTGGAATAAAACCCTTGTCTTGAACTTGTCTGTGAACAATAAGAACAAAGGGACCATTTTAGAAAAATTCAAAAACTACTAATAATTATCCCATTTTAGTCTTACCTGTTTTTACAATTTGACAAGTCTTCTCTTACTAACTCCACAAAACAGAAGTACATGTCACCTTAAGGCATCCTCCTGCTCAGACCAGAGAGGAGAGGTTATATAAAGGCACTCTTGGGGACCATCCATCTTTGTCAGCATATTATTATTACCTGCCATAGACACAGCACTGGGTTACATAGTGTCTGCCCCCATTGAACCCAAATCCCACCTGGACAGATGCAAGAGTGATGGACTTCCGTGGGCTGCTTTGATTTGACTCCGTCGCCTCCTCCGCTTGTGTTGGTGTTGTCTTGGATGGCTGCTATGTGCGGGAACATTCCGTTTAATAGCAGTATCATTTTAACCCATATGCCCCCTATGAGCTGTGAGGCAAGACAGGAGCAGAGGAGCAGGCAGGTCGTGACAGTTTCTATTGGAGAACTGTAACAACGTGTGGGTGTGTGTGTGGAGATGTACATTTACTGCCTCATTTGTAGTATTTATCAGTATCATTTTCTAGTGTATTCAAGGTAAGTTTTGTTTTCTCTTTTACGTCATATTAGCAGGTACATACAATGATGCTTATCTTTTTTTTTAATGGTGTTTCAGGACTTATTACTAATGCATATAGGATACAGGGCTGTGCAGTTTATTTCAAAAATAAACTGCTAAACTGTTAATCTGGCCTCCAATCTTTCACTCACATACCACATTCATACGTAGGCAAAGTGGGTGAAGTGTCTTGCTCACTGACATAACAAAACTTTGCGACTTAGCTACTACGATCTCCATTATCTTTAAACTTTGTATCTGATTTAATATATAATTCACTAGGGATGTACCGATATCCAAATCTCACGGTACGATATCACGATATGCCTCTCACGGTACGATAATTATTATGATATTTTGGAGAGGTTAACAGAACTGTAGATAGGCGATTTTTTCCTTTTTAAATACATTGACCAGTCTTAGTAAAGTAAGTAATGGATCATGGTCTGTGCAGTTCCCTCTTTTTTAATACTTTTAAGTGAAACACCTTGACAATTTGATATATTGTGACGGACCACGATATATAGTGAGAGTTCTGACAATACGATATCACGATATTTCGATATTTCGGTTATGGTTACATCCCTCTAATTGACTAATATTATATTTTTGGTATAGGTATGTACTGCATTCCCTCTCACACAATGCATCTCATTCATACACTAGCACACAACAACACTGGAGACATGGTGAGTGAAGTGTCTTGCCCAAGGACACAACAATAGTATGTACTATAGCCCCTGCTCTTCCACTATAGCACCTTGTATTCTCAGTGGTCTCCCATCCAAGTACTAACCAGGCCCAACCCTGCTTAGCCCCTGAGAGCTTGCTAGTTTGGGCATTCTATAAAGTGGTATTAAGGTGTTGCCCTGTCGAAATGAGCTACCCGCAGCCTAAATTGACAGTGACATCTATCGATACACACTACCTCATTGAAACAAGCAACCTTACATTTTTCCATGTACAGTTGTATAGATCCAATAAAGCTAACCTCCCCAGTTTTACAACATATTTCTTTAGAATAGAGACAGCGGGTTTGATGCTGTTTGCACACAGTGATCACACTTTATATCTTGGTTATGTACAATTTAAACTAAATTATATGAGAATGCGTAGGTAGTTCATTTCAACAGTCATATTATGCTCAAGTAAGGCCCCAACTAAAGGTAGCACATATCGACAGGCCAATCAAGTAATGCTCCCGCTGTAGAATCACCATTATTCACTCATTTGTATGATTTGGGGTAGTGGTAGCTCGTTTCGACAGGCCTGTATCTTCTATCAAATAAGGCTTCCACTATATAAGAGAAAGAAATTACTGGAAACACAAAAATCTTTATTTTAAATAAATATCATCGACTACAGTGTGAATTTCCTATTGTAAAATCAGGAGCTCAAATTGATGGCATTTAAACTGTAACAGCGTTTGGGGGTTGTGCGCATGTGCAGTAGCGTTAGGTAGCTCAAATCAATGGGTAGCTCAAATCGACAGGACAGTGGCATTTCAGTGAATATGCACAAAGTTTGAAAGCCAGACTGAAGCGCTAACCACTCTGCCATTATAACCCCCTCCCCCCTCCATCCCTCATCCACTAATGATGACTTTTCAGGGGTTGACAGTTGAGTGTTTGTCCACTGATCCAAAGGTTGGCGGTTCAAATCCTGCTTTTAGTAGAGCAGTCTGATCCATTGACCCACAGGTTGGCAATGCGATCCCAGCTCCCACAGACAAATACTAAATACTGTTGTTGTGTCCTTGGGTAAGACATTTAACTTACCTCATCCCCAGTATATCTGCAAATGTGTGTGGGAATGGGTGCATGATTCCTTGCAATAAAGCACTTTGAATGCCTCTTACATGCCTTTAACATACCGTAAGATGCAGATAATAAAGAATAACAGCGCTAACCTTGAGTTGTCTTCCTTTAGGTCGGGCGTGGGTGTAACCGGCTCCAAGCAGACCATGTTTTATGCCGAAGTGTCCGATGATAACCGTGTGAGCGCTGGAGGAGGGGAGCCTAAAGAGGGAGAGCTGATCGAGGTGGTCAAAATCCCCCTACACGAAGCCATGACATTCGCCTACAATGAGCGTATACCCAAGACCATGGGCGTCATCTTTAGTTTTATGTGGTTCCACAATAACATGGCCCCCAGGTATAAGATCTCCACTAACGTCTAACAGTATTTATTCTGTCCATCTTTATACCGTTTTATGAATCAATGAATCGATGAAGAGCCAATCACTGGTCTAGCACATATATGTCCCCTTCACCACACTTTGTACTGTAAGGCTTTTGAATACAGTTTGCATCAGGAGACTACAACAAATGTAACGTTTTTGATTTTTATTTTTATTTTGGTAATTATGGCTTAAAGGTAGAAACTCAAATTCAGTCTTATAGAAGCACGAAAGGCACTGGTTAGTACCATAATTATTTGAAATTGATCATTCTGGGTTTTACTATATAATGGAATCTAGAGAAGCCGATGACCAATTCATTCTGATAATAATAATAGTGTTTATAGTGCACTAGGGTTGTTAAAAGTATCGAAAAACTAAACGCATATCGAAACTACAGAGACTTATTTGAGCAAGTATTAATGCTGTAAAAAAATTAGGAAAATTTGAGCTTTCTTGAACAGTTTTAGTATGATTTTAAGCTTTATCAGAGCAAATACCAGAGCAAAACCTCATGCTAAAATAAAGAAAGTACTATTCATTTATATTTGAAAATTACATTTTATTACTAAAAATGGAGCATTTTTAAATCTTCATTGTAGTATCGGTAATTGATATTGAGTATTGAGTGAATTCCTTGATATCAAAATTAAGTTTGTAATAATGAAAAATAATAATATCAAAATTAATGTTCAGAAAAAGCTTTATATATTTAATTTATTTATTCACCTTGGCTGGAGATTTAAGGCTAATAGCTGTCTACCGATGTATTAAGAAGTGTAATTCACTATTCAGAATTCAGAAACGTTCATAAAGTACATACAAAGTTGAATAAAATTGAACAACTGACCTGATTTTCCAGTTGTAACTTATTGATGTACAATTATCTCTAAAGTCTACAATATGAAGTGTGGTGCAGGGGCCTATTTCCTATCACACATCTTTGTTCTGTCTTTTCTGTCATATGAATATTGCCATAGCTTGTTTTAATTTTATTTGCTTAACTGAATAAGCCATTTGTATTTATTTGTAACTTGAAGGAAATTGGATTGGTTAGCTGTTTTTCCCTTATCTGGGTTTGGGGCTAGCTCAAAGAGTATCCTGGCTCTTGTGGCTAGATTTTTAGGTTATACAAAGCAACTAGCTGAAGTGATTCTTTTTAAAATGTAAAACCAGCAATGCAAAAACCACAAACAAAAAAAAGTTTAATTTTAAGTCCATATTGCACAAAACTCCCATAGTATTATTATTATTATCAACATCCTACGATTCAAGTACGGTTCTCTCCCACGATCATCTATTTGAAACAGTCATCTATCTACTTTATAATGGCCTTTACTTTGAGATTACTAACTAAACTAAGATTTTTCTCAGGTCCAAACACATAGTCCACGTTCAGGCTGCATTTCTGAATGTGATGTGAACCAGCTGTAGGCAATCCTGTGCTGTCATTGTATCTACTAAGGGCTTGTAGTTTCTATAATCATAACATAAACATACATTAAGTTCCTTAGTGTAGATGGCATTGGAAATATGCAACCGAGAAACAGCTAAAGCATCGAAATTCATTTTGGCTACTACAGTATTTATCAAAAGAACTACATTTAGTATTCACTCTAGAGTAGTAGTCATTCTGTGTGGGCATTCTTGTGAAAATTCTAGTAAAAATATTTGACCATTAGCCTGTATTTAGTCGAAGGTGCACTGCGTAACTTTTCTGTTTGTCTCTATGGAGATGTTATTGCTTTGCCTGGAATGTTTCATGATATGACTTTAAACATTTCCACCTAGCATTTATTCATTACAGGTGTTTCTATTGCTCAAAAACACTATAGTTCCTTTTAGGGATGTAACGATATCCAAATCTCTCTGTACGATATTATCATCTCACGGTACGATATTTATTGCAATATTTTGGACAGGCTGTTATAACTGTAGATTGACCACTTTTTTGCTTTTAAAATACCTTGACAAGATTTTGGTGTGAATTATTTCCATCATAATCCCAAGAATTCAAGTAAAAAACATATTTCTTCATGATGTTTGCACTGAAATGAATCACGGAATATGTAGTTTCCAATGTTTATAAGATGTTGCTACTATAAAACAACGCGTTTAAGCAAAGGAACTTGTAATTTGATATATTGTGACAGCCCACGATATTATTTTGAGACGATACGATATCATAATATTTCGGTTATTTTTACATCCCTAGTTCCTTCTGTGAATGGAGCGACTCTCCACAGATCTGAACTGTAATGTAGAGTAGTGCTGTAACCAATGATAGAGGTTTAACTTATCCTGTAGAACATTCTAGACAAAGCAATAATATTTCCATGGAGACAAGCAGGTGGCGAACTCTTCATTAGAAATGTTACGTGGTGCACCTTTATGTTTGCAATCAGTTTGACAATCAAAACCGCAAAAATATGTTGGACTCTTGCCCAAAGTAGAAAAAAAAAAAGAAAATTCAAAAACTTAGAATTTCCATTTTCATTCGTTCAGCATTTATAGATTTGTTTTTATTTGACTAATGTTGTATGATGTTGTACTTTTTTTTAGCACTTTGGCCTAAATCTGAAATGAAATCACGTTAGCATCCCGCATCGCTAAAGCTAGTTGCAGACATATTTGTTTTAGATAACGTTGCTTGAATCAAACTCAACTTATCCATTTATATAGAATAGTACTTTTAGATTTTAAATATGACACCAGCTACTGTTCAACATCAGCTGTGAATTATAGAAAACGCACAAAATTTATTCTTCTAAACCTACAGCGCCAATGCTAACTGTGTTTTTAGGGCCTTGGACGAAGTACATAATATGAAATAGTGCAATAATTATGCATGGAATTAACTACTATGCGCCCGCTTAAACCTATTATTAAAATCCTGTATAAAATAAAACTCAAAATAAGCATTTGTAGCTTGTAATCTATAGTGCCAATATTTTAAAATTGTGTAATCAAACCTATACATTGATATATGGTCTGGAACTGGTGCTCAAATTAAGGTATTAGGAATTAACATTAAAATACTTGATTATGTCTTGCTTTTTGTGCCACATTTTTCTATGAATGAAGCTATAGTCTTATCTATTTTTTCCAGTTATATGTTTAGGAACTTATAAAATAAAAGGGTTGTCAAAAACTATCGGAACTTGGATACTAATCGATAGTAAAACTAGTATAGAAACTATATATTTGAGCAGGTATTGATACTAAAAAGTCACATTCATTGGACCGAAATTAACCTTTTTTGAATAGTTTAAGAATGATCTTGAGCTGTATCAGGACACATAGACTCGTATACGCCCATGGACGACTGAGGGATTACACAGATACAAGGCCACATGATATTATAAAAGAAAGTACAATTTAATGTAAAAAATCACATTCTGTTATCTAAATAAAGTGTTTTTTGTTATCATTGTGGTATTGGAATCAGTTTTGAGTATCAAGTCTATTCCCTAGTTTCGAAATTATGTTAAAAATCAAGACATTTTAGTATCGTGACAACACTATCAGTCTTAAACTTTATGCGCCAACTAGAGAGAGATGCCACGTTCTGATTTGCTGAAAGTGATATGGAGTCTCCAGTAGTTAGTCAGTTTTCAGTTGCGTAATTTTCTTTCGTTGAATTGTCAGTAGGCATAATAGCCTAAAATGACAGTTTGCAGTGGCTGTTCGCGTGGCTCAGAGGAGTAACGCATTTCTCGCTCTTGTAAAACAGGCTGGATCTGGGCCAGACGATCACAGATTGTCAAATGAAATCAACACCATTGTAGTCGTTCAGGTTAGGCTAGTTTTAACTTTTACTTATTGTTCAATGGCACTAAATGAATGAACAAGAGGAGGTTTGGTTGTGTACGTGCAACATGTCATTAGAATCTGCTGTTGTTGCAGTTTACACACACGCAAGATTTAACTACAATGCCATTTCCGCAGCCCTATCTGTGAGTGATCAAAATCTGCATCAATGCCACAGCGATTAACAAATCAAGATAAAATATTTGAACTTTTGAATGGTAAACGTACTCAAAACTGTGCCTCTAAACTAAACAGGAAGCTGAACTCAATGAGCAGCATCCATAGACTGTATATATAAATGGACATATTAACCCGTTTTCCAAATAGGAAGTGAGCATGGGCATGCTTCCGGCTCCATCGACTGTTTCCAACTTACTTACATTGAAAAATTGCCACCACTTTCTTTATAACTGCTGCAGTGAGCTTCATCATTTTGGTCTTAAAATGTTCGTATTAACCCGCTCTACATGATCCTGGTGTTTTTATTTTGCTATTTTCTCAGTAAATAAATTCCTATTCCTAATATGGACCTGGATCCGAATTCGCTCCAATAACGGCAAACCTCAGTGAGCTTCATTTGACTGGAGTCGAACGCTGTTTGACGTAACACTCCCTCAGTCCACTTCTTTATACAGTCTATGGTAGCATTACTAGCTAGCAACATTATAAGACATTGCCACAACCTTGTATGTAATTAAAACAGGTTATCATTTCTGTCTTCATTAAATATGCACCATAAATTCTCTTTTAAATGGTGAAAGGTACTCAAAATGGTGCCTATAAACAGGAAGCTGAACCTGTGGATAGCGACATGATTGCATAGCTAAACGTTTGCTATGTAATCGAAACAGATGATCATTATTATTCATATTTTCTACATAAACCTTTAAATTTTTTACACTTTTCGAACCACAAGTTAAATTTCTGAATAGTGAAAAGTCCTCAAAATGGTGCCTATAAACAGGAAGCTGATCCTTTGAATAGCTACATGAGTACATAGCTAAACATATGCTATGTAATCAAAACAGGTTATCATCATTATTATTATTATTACTTCCTACATAAACCTTTAAATTTTTTACACAATTAGAGCCACAAGTTAAGTTTTTGAAAAGTGAAAAGTCATCAAAATTGCACCTATAAACAAGAAGCTAAACCTGTGAATAGCGACACTAGCTAGCTACATGTGTACATAGCTAAACGTATGCTGTGTAATCAAAACAGGTTATCATTATTATTAATATTTTCTACATAAACATTTTAACTTTTTACACAATTGAATCACAAGTTAACTTTTATATAGTGAAAAGTCCTCAAAATGGCGCCTATAAACAGGAAGCTAAATCCATATACAGTATAGCATCACTAGCTAGCAACATGAGTGCATTGCTATGGCTGAATATGTAATCCAAATATTATATTTTCTATCTCATAGTTGAGCAAGAGCTATCATGGTTGAATACATATCTTAGCTAAAATGTATTGGTAAAACTACTGTCTTTTGATATTGATTTGTAGTTTGGTTGTGCCACTATAAAAAGCCATACCCCCCTTATGTTAATACAGGAGAAATGTCCATGTTAAAGCCTATGTCATTGTTGTCCTTGCTGATTTAATGCTGAGCCCAGTTTGGACACTGCTACCTCCATCTCTCAGGCACATAAATACATACAATTGTCCATTTTTCACATTTTAAAATTTTGAAAATGAACCGTCGTGGCCATGCTGTAGAGACTTCTTTTGTGCCCAATTTATGACATATCTCTATTCAAGGTGTAGTTATGTGTAGAATTCTAAAAATGTACTATTTCAAATTGCACTGCGTACTTTAAGAAGAAAAGAAATTGCTTTTATATCTCCAAGGTTGAAATTCTTTTCGTTATAGCATGCAGCCAACCAGCAGATGAATTAAAGCTTTCAAAATAAAGTTCAAATTAAATATCAGTATCAGTAAAAATATAATATAATAAGTATTTTTTTAATCAATTTTGAACTAACTTAAATTATAATTTATGCTACAAATGATAAATTTTACCACAAATCTAGTCTTTGGCTTAAAAAAAATAAGTAAAACTATGGAAAATATATTTGAAAAATAAATAAATCAGAACAGAAAAAATGGTCTGTTTTGGCTGTGATAATCCATAGCAGTTCAACAGAATAGTCTAATAGGATTTCTACACATAATACCTGGAAAAAAAAAAAATACTGTAAAAGCATTAATATGTTTGTGATTTAATTTATCTGTGTCTTATGATGATTTTATTTTTTATATTTTTGAAAACGTTTTGAAATCTTTTGCGAATCTTTGTTTTAAATTTGTGTAAACCGATTGTGGGCAGTGTTTTAGTATCGTCTATATTTATTTATTACATGTCAACATTCGACTTTCATGACAAACATTTACACATTTGCAGTAGTTCCATATGATAATTTGCATGTGCACTGTCTGTGTTGGATTAAACTACATTACGTTTCAATAAAAAGGGGTCAAAAGCCCAAAATGAAAAATCGATTTCTATTTTGATTCTTGTGTAACAGGATACTACTTCAGTTTACATAACAGTTGATAGATAACAGATGACCTAGATAACTGGTCATTGGTATGCATGCTGGTGGTTATTCAGCTCTTTAGTATATATGCTTATGAACAGTGACTAAGTGTATTGCTAAATAAATATACCTGATTTTTATACTTTAAAAAATGTGAATAAAACAGAAAACCTAGTTCATTTTAAACAGTTTGCAGCAGTCCAAAGTTATTCCTCACTTTCTTTATGCATTCCTAAAATCCTAATTATTCACTACGAAGAGTTTATAATTGCTTTTCACAACTTTCAGAGTAGAGTTTTGCCATCACACTAATAACAACTAGCATTCTAACCACGCACTTCCTCATCATCAGACAATAACACGCTTTATAATTAGCTGCAGACAGTACACGGTGAACTTACTTTGACCTCGAGAGCTGCTTACACATTACACACACATACACAAAGACAATATTTAACAATACAAACAAAGAAGTAATTATTATGTGTTTTTCTCATAGTCATAGACAATAATACTGTATTTTCTCCCTATTTTTATTTTTTTTTTTACATCAGATGCCCTTCCTTCTCTCCACAATGGTTCACAACAGCAGTATATATCTAGAGTAGGTGGGCTTGAACCCGTAACCTCCTGATTACCAGGCGACTGCTAAAGCCTTAGACTAACGCAAACTCAAAAGGACTTAATTCAACCTGGATATACCGATGACAAAGGGAGCTTTTGGGTGTTACCTATTGTGAAATATGCTCACTGTTGTTGTTGGCACGGTACTGTATAAATGTATTTTTTCCTTGTTTTCAGCTAGGTACTCTTCTGATCAGGTACATGTACAAGATCTGGGTCCCTCGGGGTTGCATTGTCCCTTTTTTTTCCCTGACAGATCTTCCCGGCAACACTGAAGGATGGGTCAAATGCAGAGGACAGATTTCCCTATGAGTACGCTATATTTTCTGCCACCTGCTTATGCCCTCGGAGATGTTATTGTTGACTTTAAATGTTCCACTGTAAGCCATTAAACTTAAGGTCAAGTAGGCCATGCCACCATCACAATCTGTGGAGAAGCAAGCATGTTTTTCCAGGCACTTGTGTCAATAAAAACAATTGAATAAAAGCTTGATAGATAAGTTTAATGCTGTACCGTTGGACATTCTAGACAAAGCAATGTCACTGTAGAGACTTGCATGTATGAGATAAGTTATATAATGAGCCTTTAACTGTATTCAATTGAGTTTAATGACAAAGTGCTTCATGCTTTGGTACTTCTTCGCCCTCCCACACCAACTTTGTGAATGGCTTCTTTTGTTTTGATTCTGCAGGATTATCCTCATTCCACTATTGTACCGTACAAACACTCGCCTTTACTTATTATCAGACCAGTTCTTCAAACCTGTGCATAAAAGATGACTCACTCACTACTTTTATTTTTATGTCTTTAAGATCACTACCATTACTACTATACTATATGAAGTCCAGTGTTTTCTTCCTTTGCTGCATGACTGGGGTTTGTTTTTGTCAATGTTCACGGTAGCCGTGGGGTCTTAAAAGTCTTAAATTTCATGTTCCTAAATTAAGTACTTCAAAAGTCTTAAAGTATGTCGTCCAAGTCTTATTTTTTTCACAAAGGTCTTTCATTTCATTAGCCTATTCTTTTGTAAACTCTAGTTTGCGCAAACAATACTTCGGTTTCTGGCGTCGGCGACAATGAGTAAACATCAGTAGAGTGGAGGAAGACGTTGGATGGATCGTGGGGAAGTGTAGATTTAATCCACAGTGACTCTTATGTAGTAGTTGGTTGGTCATTATTAGAATTTGATCTGGTGTTTTTTGCCCGCATTATAGGTGCGATGTTGGTCTTAATTTTAATTTAAGTGGTCTTAAAAAAGTCTTAAATTTGGGGTGGTCAAACCTGGGGATTCCCTGATGTTACTTCCACTCACTCCTTACTTTTGTTTGAAGGTCCTACACAAAATGGCATCTCATGAACTTTAAACTGTGTTACAATGGTGTTACCTCCTCAAAAACCATACCTGTAGTTGTGTTTTGTTTCATTCACATATGTTTGAGTAAACCGGTTTATTAGTTTGGATCTTCAAAGCTCAAAATGCTTTGTTCCACCTTGTCATGTTATCTAGTGGTGGTTTTCAGGTTAAAAACTACCATTTTACCTTTTGTTCAGTAGATCTGGAATACTCCAAATTATTCTAGTGAAGATGTATGTAGTTTAAAAACACAGTGGAGCACTTCCTGTATTACCACATGACATTGCAACAACTGTTTGAGAGAAAAGCTCAACCTAAATGTACAGGGTTTGGGTGTTAAACGTGTGAATGAAACAAAATACTGAAGTCTGGTTATGCTTTTTTTGCTGAGGAATTGACCTTATAATATAGATCAGAAAATAGTGTAATGGTGTAAGGCACATTAAATAAATCTACCAGTGGTATGAAGTTACCTGCCCCTCTGTTGGAAAAACAAAAGTTGAGACACATAAAGATAAGGCTGCAGATCAGGAAATGTTGACACGCTCCAACAGTGAATCCTCAAAAAGATAAGAGGCATGAATGTAAACTCTGCTTATCCCGATCAGTATCTTCTTCTCAGAAACAGAGCTGGTTTTCACTGCTGGCCAAAGGAGAGGAGGAAGCTGATCTGGCTCAATGAAAAGTGGAATCTACTGAATTTATCTAAAGTAATTCAAAGGTATGTGTGAATGAGGAAACTCACATGGTTTTCTTAAAGTGAGACTTTTTTTCTTTTTTTGGAACATTGTAAATTTGAAGGCCATTTTTAAAGGTGTTTTTCTCATTTTCTTCTGTCTTTTATTAACAATATTTTGGAGGTTTATATAGAAGGACTTGTTGAAATTGATTGAATTCCAAGATAAACTTAACTAAATTGAAATTGTAACTCCAGAACTGTGGTGATTTTTTCCCCCTTTTTTTTTCTTTTCCCATTTCTATTCACCTACAATGTCTCACCTTATGTTCCATTATTAGTTTTGGCTATTTTACTCACTATTTTTGGTCAATTTAAGCATTCTTTTGACTATCTGAGTAATCTGTGGCAGTATAACCAGACTATAGAAACCATGGACCTTGGTCAGGAGCACCAAACTGGAGGATTAGCCTACTGTGTTTTAAGTGGATGAAAGAAACTGGAGCCCATGGAGGAAACCTGCCTAGGTAGAACATAAACTCCTTGAGCTGTCTGGTCAGGAGCACCTCACTGGAGAATTAACCTATTGTGCATATTTTAGATCAATGGAGAAACCAGAGTCCCCCAACGGTATCCTACCCACACACGGGGAGAACATGCAAACTTCATGGTCACCAGACCTGGGAATCAAACCTGTAGGATCTTCTTGGTGTTAGGAAAGAGAGCAAACCCTTTTTTTTTTTTTTTTTTTTTGACTATTTTAATTTAATATTGCCCATATTATGCAATTTTATTTCTTCATCACAAACAGACCTAGAGTTGTGTTTTATTTTTTTTCACGCATGTTTAACACACAAACCCTGCAGATTTAGGTTGAGTTCTTTTCTCAGACTGTAAACACTCTATTCCACCTTGTGATGTCATGTGGTAATACAGGAAGTGTTTCACTGTGTTTTTAAACCCCATACACCTTCACTACGATGATTTGGATGATTTCAGCTCTGGAATTGTAGCCTGATTCACTTCGTGGAAACCGTCTGACCTCGCAGCATTAGAATTCGTTCACTCATCAATAGGCAATTTTTATTTAACCAATCGCTGCTATTTGGTCGTGACATATGTAATGCGCCGCTAACGGGGCTAACTGGTATATTAAGCTTTTCCCAAATCCCGCTGGAAGAAGGCCAATAACGTCTTTCCCCTTGATAAAATTCACCAAACATTCTCTTTGTTCTGACTTTAAATCCTCGATCTCGGGAATCGTTGCCAACACAGAATATATGGCTCTTCGCTGATTGGCTGGTGCCCAGACTCGCACTTCCAGGGTTCCTGCAAACCGTATTGTGTATTCCGATTCCTGACCTAGAAAGGGAAATGAAATTGAGCACGAGGTGGCACCTGCCTGGATACTGGAATTTTCCATCTCTACTGAACTAAAGGTAAAAAGTAGCTGTCAATTTGAAAACAAGGTGAAACAGATCATTTAATTGAGCTTTGGAGATGTAGACAGGCTAATAATAAAAGACTACTCAAACATGCATGAACAAAACAAAACACAACTCCAGGTCTGTTTTTGTGAAGGTAACAACAGTATAACATGGCTAGAAGCTCCTAAGAGTCCATTTTGCGTGATACAAAACTTTCAAAACATTTATGTCACGTCAATTTGGTCTAATTCTGTATGTTTTCGCTGCGTTTACATAAAAATAAAATTTCATGACATAAAAAATTAATGGCTCTCATCTTGCATTATAGCTACAAATCTTTCAAAAGGTTTAATTTCACTTCTCATCTAATTAAAGAGTCAGTTTGTCAGTTATGTAAAACTGTCTGTGCTGAAATGACAGAAAACCCTGTGTTGTCAGTGAGTCCTTTCTTCAGCAGATGGAAGCTCTGTGCAGCCCACAGCTGTTGGGAGCTTATCTGGCCACATGCTAAAATATGCTAATCAGCCTATTGTCTTCATCCATTAAAGTCATAATATCCTCCTTTCTTTTGTTTTTTCTTCTTCTTCAGTGAATCATCTGTCTCTCATCTGTCTTCTAGAGTATGGTAATGTGCAGATTAATTCATCAAATGTGTTTTCCTTCCTGTTGCAATACGAACCACCTGCTAAAGACATTGTACCACTTGGAGAAGTTTTCAGGCTACTATTACTGCTACTTTGGTCACATTTTGTTTGTGCCAACTGTAACTTACTTGAGTAAAAGTTTTGATTGGTTTTCCCACAGTGAGTAAGTCTAGTAACAATAGCTCTATGTTGACTATATTAAATCATAATCATAATGTTTGTGTTTATAAATGGGA